GTCACCCCCTACAGATGGACGTGCTGTACATGTACATATCTGTTATTATTTGGGCTGAACAAAGTGGTTTCGCCTCGTCTCTTCTACAAGAGACTGTTTAGGTTTCGTTGTCTTTCTGTTCATCTCGTGTCCAAGTTCAGTAGTGTACTTTAGTTGGTGACGGTGATGAGTCAGGTTCTCGTTTCGAAATCCTTCGCCAGAAACAGTCATTTTCGAAGATGCCACGCTGTTCATAACGGGGAGGCAAACATGGCGATAACCTATCTCACTCGAAGATCTGGCACTGAGAGATTGGGATGGGAACCTTCAGCTTTCACAGCGGCGATCCCCTGTTATTTTAGTGGGGCACAAGGTTCCCTTTGCCGTGAAGCCGCCAGGGCTATGCAACCTTAACGGTGGCGCCTTTGCAACTTGTAAGAAAACGGAGGGCTTCATGGAAACTGGTGGAAGGATTGGATCCTACTATTGACGATGAGATGGGACAAGCAAAGCAGTACAGTACATCAGAGGGATGAAACAATGTGACAGGAATTGAGTGAGAGGGAAACAAAGAAGTCAATAAAGATGAATCGAGAAAAGAGGTAGGGATTTAGGTTAAGGGAAGGGAAGAATACTTCTAGGCCAAGGGAGCGAGGGGGTCCAAAATTGGTGATTATAGATAGACATGCTTGTACCTAAACTCCTTTACATGCCATGGGTTATGCTTAGATATGGAGCTTTAGATTTGACCGATCGGTGTATATATACACACTCTTCAATGAGTTTCCATCCCAACTGTTGTTTCGCTTTGGACTTCACCTGAAGGCACACAGCGGCAAAGACACATGATCCAACTCGTCTTGCATTCCGCAAATCCCAAGTGAAGAGCAATTCGTCTTGAAGGTTTCGCACAATGCACACAGAAAGTGTACCCGCAACACCAGGCATCTGGTCTCACAAAAGCAGCGCTTCATCCCAATAAGGCGCTGCGGAGGTACGAGAGCGCGGTTGTTGGAGTTAGTGCACCGGACAGAAACGCGCCAATGCAGGCAATCGGCCACCCCCCGCCGCAAAGCACAGACCCCCTGGTCCCTGTGGGCTGGCCGCCAATCCGATTGAGGACAGATTTCCTATTCTTTCTAGTTTTCTGTAGCAGCTCCATGGCCGGACCCGCAACCTGACGAGTGGCCTTTGCTAGGTGGGAAAGAGGACACCACACCTTTAACGCCAGCTTGCCGGTCCCACTTCGCATTCAAATACCCGACAACCTCCCTCCATCCATCGCCAATTCTCCCTTTCCTTTTGCAAACACCCGAAGAGTTTTAAGTGGCCTAAGGAACCACTGCTTTTCTAGAACGACGACACCTATCATCACCCCCAATTCCTTAATCACAACAGCAGCGGGGTTGTTTTCTTTCTTTATACATCACATTCTCCTTCGCCAGAGCTTCCAGTAATGGAGCACCGAACGCGAAGCTGGGCCTTGGGCCTCAGCATCCTGGGCTTCTTTGCCCTCCTCTTCTCTGCTGGCTTCGTCCAGCAGGCTCATGCCTCTGATGACATCGAGGCCATGGGCACTGTTATCGGTATTGTAAGTTACCAGCATTCCCCTCTAACTTGCCTTTCCTGGAGTTGGGTACAGCATTCTAACACCGCTTCTTCTACAGGATCTCGGAACCACCTACTCGTAAGTTTACCTTTGCGCGATCTCGCTCCCCGACACGACCATGAACACGATTACCCCGCGGGGTGTGCGGGGCTTGCTGCCAACCTCGACCACAATCTCACGCCCTGGCTTCGACGAGCGATGTATACAGTTTGGGGACAAGACAACTAACAGCCTTCCAGTTGCGTTGGTGTGATGCAGAAGGGCAAGGTTGAGATTCTCGTCAACGACCAAGGAAACCGTATTACCCCGTCTTATGTCGCCTTCACCGATGATGAGAGACTCGTTGGTGACGCCGCCAAGAACCAGGCTGCGGCCAACCCTTTCCGCACCATCTTCGACATCAAGCGTCTTATCGGCCGCAAGTTCTCGGAGAAGGACGTCCAGACTGACATCAAGCACTTCCCCTACAAGTAAGCACTGGTTCCTCTACCAAATGCGCTCTAGCCGTTACTGACTCTAGTTCCTAGGGTCGTCTCCAAGGATGACAAGCCTGTTGTCAAGGTCGAGGTTAATGGGAGCGAGAAGATCTTCACCCC